TAAGCTGTGTATTCCAAGTGCTATGAACTGTCTGAGCTGTGTGTTCCTAGTGCTCTGAACTGTATAAGCTGTGTGTTCCAAGTGCTCTGAACTGTATAAGCTGTGTTTTCAAGTGTACTGAACTGTTCAAGCTGTGTGTTACAAGTGCTCTTCACTGTCTGAGCTGTGTGTTCCAAGTGCACTGAACTGTTCACACGAAGCATGTGTTCTCAATAATACTTGACACTTAATTAAAGCATCAAAAGGGACTTCCACTAATTAATTACCTTTCTTGGCCTCTCTAAATCTGTTGTTGGTCGACATAAAAATTAATTAGGCAGGTGACCCCACTGCTCTGATTAAAATTTTATGTTATCACGTTGATATGAGCGGCTGATGAAGGTAAAAAAGCGTAATTTTTAAAGTTCGATTGGCCATGAATTGGGTCCTATAGTGATCGCCGCCTTGTGAGTGCCTTAGTTTATTTAGGCATAGTTATTATAAGTGGGAGATTGAGGTATAGTAATCTGTAATTGTATAGATCGAAGATTATTGCTTCGTGATTGCTGTTTAAGATTGAGACTTCGTTTGTAGACCGTCGACAAATACCATGTTAGTATGGTAAACTGCATGGGGCACATGATTATTCAACGTTGATTAGGCTATCCCGATGGCAGTTCTTGGATTGTGGTTCGCATGTTAGCCATGCATGGTCTCTACTCGTGCATTAGGTTTTCTTGGCCATGTGGGTTGCATATACGGGGACCTTTTACCGATTAATCTAAATATGAGAACCAGATTCTCGTATGTCAGCAACTCGAAAATTGTAGACTGTAGAATAGTTTTAGAGACTCTATCGTCACGCACGATCTAACAATTGATACTGAATTCCACAGATCGTGAACACAGACTTTCGATCGTTTGATGACTCGTCGTAGATCAGTCGATCGCCAGCTGCCTTGCCGAAGGTTCGCTGTTGTCACGTAATCGTAACGGCATCGCGGCCTATTGTTCACGTGTCGCTGTAGCGGCTCCCAATTGGCATGGTGGCTATAAAACGTCAATATACTGGCTTCAGAACTCCATAATGCATTTCCATTCTTCGCTGGATTTACTGTTTCGTATTCTTAGTCGGCCTTCCAAAATTCAGTTTTTTTTGGGGGGGGGGCACTTAGATTCATTGACTTTGACTTGATAGGAGTCGATAATTTTGACTCGCTTTTCAAAGAGAGATGTTTCAATTATTTTTAAACGCTGCTCTTTTGAAGCTAATTTTGAACGGATTTCTTGTGAATTTGGGCATGACCAGCTGTATATAGTAAGTCTTGGAATGCGATCTGCCTACACGTTGCATCTTCACTTATATAAAGTTACCTATTACACACAAATATCGCACGTCGGCGTTACATCTACTACTTTTCTAGACATATTAGTGACTGCGAATTGCTTCATTTAATTTTCTAGGCAGGTGTTTGCCACTGTTTTCATCTGGTTTTCATGTAACCCGTTCCGAGGAAGAAATATCACAAATGTTTTGTGATGGAATACCATACGAGCATTTTCACGGTGACTGATCTGGGCATTTTTAGGTGGGGCCTTTGTGAGCCGCTGTGCGCTGGGAAATGAATGGCTGCCCAGCTGGACTATGACTGGAGTGTCAGTCAAGCGGCACTCCCCTCTCCTGGGAGGCTAGGAGAGGGGAATATGTAAGTGTTTGCAATTTAGTAGCCAATTTACTCGTGGCAATGCAAGAGGAAGCCTTGAGTGAGCGAGCGTTTCAGTGTGATGAAATATTGCCGGGTATAGAGCAGAAAACTTCTCAGAGGACGCATGAGTTTTGGGCGGCAGGGCGACAATGTCTGACAACCACTCTTATGCGAGGTGCGTTTATACCGTGCACCGGCTACATTCTATAACCCCAAAAAATTCCTCACAGGCACGAAAAACGCAAAATTTTACTTCATACCATCTTATTTGGGAATTTTTATTGAATTTATCGGTTAATTGATCGAGGTGCTGTTTTGATCCGCAGAAAAGTTTGGTGTAGTCAGAATGTATTTTTTATGAATAAATATTGACGTGAAATATTCAGGTCGAATTTAAGCACTCATAATCACGTTGTTATTATTAGCTAAAATAATAATCGACTGCCACAAGTGGCTCCATGGTTTTCCTGTTTCAGTAATTGTTTTGGTTGATGTCGTTGTTTTATCACTCAGGAATCTACAGAATAAAAATAGTGTCCCATTTACAGAAAATTACAAAGTGTGTTTAGAGAGGTAAACAATTACACTTTTTATTCCACTATATCAACAAGATTCGCTGAACTGATAAATTGATGGGATCATGTCTCAGCTAACTAACGGTGCGCGATTTAAAGGCCACATTTGAAATATTAAACACTGATCGAGATCTATTGCTGTTCACCATCTCATGCATCTTTACCCTGTTGAGATCACATTATCATTGGCAGAGATCTCGGCTGGATCTGACCCTTCGAACTTTGGCTCTGTGATCCCGACGTTGGACCCTAAGCCCCACCCACCGCCTGCAGGATGAGCGAATGTTTCACGAACTGCAGCGAACAACCACCAGCGGCGAGAAGCAGGCAACAACATCGTGCATCAGCTGGCTCAACTGAGGGTGGATGCGCGATAGTCAGAGGCGGCGATACATCGTGGCCTAGGACTGCTACGTCCGAAACATATATTAAGGTTACTTCGGAAAGGAATCGACTTCATGTTCGTCGCTGTAATGAAGGGTCGAGAATGAGCGCAAAATTCCTTAGAAAAGAACCTATAAGCCTTGCCCTGAACCAATAACAAAAGAACCATTAAGCCCCGCCGATGGAATTATATAGTCAGTAACCGGCCAAGAATGCGCAGCGTATCACAGGAATTAATTTTTCATGATTTCACTACCAAATTTATGTGAAATGTAATTCAAACGTTTTGACTTCTTATGATGTTGAGTGGGTGGAGAATGTTGCAAAAAAATTATTTTTTGAAGTAGGTTCTGTGAAGAATTCATCAAGTTTCGTTTTCCATGGACAGTTATATTTATGCTAAGGAGGCGGAGGCAGCTTGCCTAAATTTTGCTTATCTAATTTAACCGCAGAATTTTCTCGTTGCCAGCCTCAGACTTTCGGTGACAGGCTCAGCTGTAAGGGGATAAATTGGATGAATGCTAGGCCTAATTGGATGGAAATGAGCCAGTAAATTGGCTGCCTATCTTATTCAAAGAATTAGCCATCATTTACTTGTTTCAATTTATAATATGAGTGACATCATTCGTGGATGTCTTGCTCGGCTTGTGGAATGTAACTTTTTTATGAGGAACAAGTAATTAAATTTTCCCTGTCTCTTCAAGATAATATTGATTCTCATCGTTTTTTTTTTTTGGCTTTTGACCAAACGAGAGACTTGATCGAGTTTGTTGATCACAATATGTCAGAAGCCGAAACGGTTTAGATTGATTTTTAACCACCATTTAGATTTATTAACAATGCGATGAACCTCGTTCATTGAATCGATGAATTTCGTTCATCAAAGGCTCTCGTACGGGCCCTTTGTCCTGCGATGGCAGACGTGCCTTCACTGCTCTTTATGCTGCTTATAAACGTGCTCATTTCCCATGTTCTAAGGACAGTAACTTCTGTTACCAGGTCAAGGACAGGAATAACATTGAGATAATTTATCTGTTACCCAATCGTTTGACATCCAGCGGAAAGTTAAGGCCAGATAAGTTTCTAACTTGTACATTGACCAATTACTCTCATATTACCAAATCAATTATACTCCTATTACCGTTCAGAGCACGTTCGGTCAGCGTTGGGGGCGATTAATTGAAGTGTATCAAACATAATCCGTTTATTGAGACCGCTCGATGACTACTATATACTGTAGGCCGATACATATATAGGCCTGTACCTTAGTATCCACAACGAGTTGCTAATCTCCTCAACGTCAGTCATATCGCATCCCTTACTAGCACCTTGACCTACGAAGTTGGACCTCATTTGTAATGTCAAGCAACCCAGCTCATTCGATGATTCCGTAAGAGCCTAATTTATATTTTCTGCAGCCGACGTCTGTATGTTTCGCTGATTTACAATGATGCCATGAAATTTCGGTCTTATGGGATCGCGCTCAAACTTGTAACCTATTCACTTCTGGTGCTGTTTCAGAGACCCTAGCTTATGAATTTTGCTAAATAAAGGTTTCTCTTTCGAATTATCTGCGAAATCTCGCCTGTTCTTAGACCGAAGTTTTCAGCTGAAGTCTTAACGGCAAAATTATTCTGGCCGCCAAGCCTGCCCATAAATGTAACCGCCAAGTTAGTTGTGTTGGCTGCCAAATTTCGCCTAATCCGGCCAACGTGCCGTTGATGATGATAGGTGTAAATTGTTAATCCTTAATCTACATTTTTCTCTAAGGTTATGTCGTTCTAAAATTCTTCGTTCTGTCTCGTACAGTAACATTACGTGTCTTTTATATTTAGCTTTCATTCAGTTTCAAAATTTTTGGGACATATAATTGTTGAATTCCTGCAAACAATTTTTGTCCCTATTTATACCTCTTTTTCGGGGCGTTAATCTCCATTTTTCTTCTTATGTTTTACCGGGACATTCTTTGTCTCGTCCCGTAGTCCCGGTTCATTCCGAGGAAACGATTCCAAGACGCAGGAGTCAAATGCCGATGGGAGTGTATTACATTTGGACCATTCATTTGCACATGGACATTGGACAATTTATTGCATTGAACCAATTTTTATGCATTTGGACCAATTCACGTAAAAACTTATTATAAGTAAGTCCTGGAACTGAGTAACGTGCTTGTCATTAACTGAGACCTGCATTCCGTGTGCGCAGTGCGAGGCGCACCGCAGACCGTGTGGACGGAGGTGGGGGGCCGTGCAGAGCTGCCGTGCCCTGCGCAGCCTGCACTGCGGGGGGACCGCGCTGTGCTGGTGCTGTGGTACCGCGAGAGCCGCACCGAGCCTGTGTACAGGTGAGAGGGACCGCGCTGTGCTGGTGCTGTGGTACCGCGAGAGCCGCACCGAGCCTGTGTACAGGTGAGAGGGACCGCGCTGTGCTGGTGCTGTTGCGTCCAAGTTGATGCTCAACTTCTCGTAAATGTTATCCAATCTGAGTATTAGCCAACAGCCCAATTTCATCATAGATGGCCTAGCCTTTTCATCATAGATGGTAAGCTAAAATCAACTTTTAATAATCAAATTAAAAGTCAAAGTTACATATTATATCTCCTAATGTTTTGGATAATCTATTAACCGTACCTTTCCGGTGAGCGCACAATTGTATGCCATGCAATGTCATCTCCAATACATCTTTATAAGTTTGTTTTTTTCTTACATAATATAACATTACGCCTTAATTTTACATCTAAGAAATCTTAGCTGCGATACTTATTTTCATATTCTCGAACAGGTTTCAATTAAATTTCGACATCATTTCAGGCCCAAATGTTATCATCTACATCTCTTTTCATGATATAAATAAAGATGCGCGGAAATATTTCACGCATAAAATAATAAAATTTCTTGGGATAACTCAATGTTGTTGGATGCTTTTAAATAAACCGGCTCTTTTTCCCACGAGGCGCGCAAATGAATTGAACAAGAACTACTTGTTCCACTTACTTTCATTGAATGGTAATTATTTTTACTGCATTTTGTTGCGTCATTATGCAAATTAATGTGCATTGAATTAGGTGCTGAAGGATACTACATATTACATCAAGTCTCGTTATTGTACTCAGTTTTGATTTCGCGTTTCAAACGTTTCCATATTCTGAGGGTTTCAAAAAATGTAACCTTTTGAAAATAGTCAGCACTATTTTCCACTCCAAGTCCTGGCTTGTACAAAAACAAGGTAGAGTCAATTTAAATTTAATATCAGTGGTATATAGGCTACTGGAAAGTGTCCCGGACGCCTCACAGTGCATCCTGCATTGTAGGAATTAAATGTTGTCAACGGTAATAATGTGCTGATTCTGGATGAGTTTACCCAATAAAATGAGAACCTTAGACACGATGATGGTTTGGAAGGTGATGCGGAAGGTAATGGTTTGGAAGGTAAAGACAAATCTTGGCAGTGGGACGATGGTAATAAAAAATACCGCAGCTTTCCTGCGTCCCCCAGTACAATTTGTTGATGAGGGAAGACATAATAACTGTTCGATTGAAATTGATTGTCGCTAACGAAGAAGGTCATCGTGGATCTTTGAAAAAGTTTGTGATCTGATCAGGGTCAGGGGATAATTTAAGTCTTAGGGATTGATTCACTCACATTTGAAGGCTGAAAGGATAGGCCTTTAGTCGAAAAAAAAAAATTCCCTCCGCGAAATTAGATAGGCTATAAATTTCTGTATATGTTCTTTCTCTGATTTTATCATAGGACGGTTCAAAAAGAATTTATTTGAACCTTTTTTTTCAACTGCACAATGAAGGCTTGGTCATCTGGCTGCTCAAAATTAAGCCGAGGACAACCGTGGCTTTGAGTTTTAATAGTGCAAAGCACATTCAACATCCCTCGCAATCTCTTCAAAACTTGTAGAAATAAATGAAGCAAGGGTGCTAAAAAGATTTGATCAGAATCCTGAACAAACTGTTAGGTCTTTTGAATAAGAATAGGCAAAAGAACCTACGACTTTAAAAAGGAATAATCATTTGCAGCTAAAATAATAATGCCAGTGTTCAATTCATAAATTATATCAACTCATCCAGATTTGGAATAAATTAAAAGTAAGCAATTGTCTGCATTGTTCTTTGTTACGTTTTCATGGTACCTATCCTGAACGATTTCGAAAAAATATTATTCCCATGCTACATTATTATTTAATTAATAAGTGAGAAATTTAAATGTTTGTTGTAAGGCCAGTTGATAATATCTGAAAGTTTCAGCTTATTGGCCACCGTCTCGCATTTTCTCTTTAATTTGCATCCAATAATTGAAAATTTATTAACCGAAATATTTTTCATAACACGTGTGTGGTCAGTGAGATTGATGGGAGAATGGAGGGTGCAGAAGGCCTAAAATACGAGAAATATCTCCTTCAATTAAGGTATCCCTTTTTAATTGCTTTGTCATTGAAGAGACCATTTAAGATTTCCAATTAAAGCCCATTGCAAAAACCTTCGAAAATTAGCTTCAAACTTCATTCAAGCTTTCTTCTTCTGACGGCATATTATTTTTTCGGTCGAAAATATGGAATTATGAGGTTGATCACGTTTTTTTGGCGTTATTTTTGCCATGCATATAAAACTCTTCTAGAGACTGTTATCTCCGTGTACATGAAGGCTCCATTGAATTCCCTGTCGTATTTCTCTTGCTCGTCAAGCTCTGCCTCAGACTCATGCTGAGCTGGGAAATTAGCTCCCAATGAAGAGAATCCATATTTCTTGCCTCCAATTGCATTGACAGTTGAATTAAAGTTCGACTCTTCGTGAGAATGAAGGATCGTCAAATTCTCAAACTGATTTTCGAAGCATTAATAAAAACTGCAATTATTTCTGGTATCTATTTTCCTCACTCCACCCACTGCGAACTAATGATGGTACTATCATCACTTCCATTTATCTTTCTTGTTAAACTAGCAGCGTTCATAACTTCCATGGTTTGATTGTGGTTCCCACCAAGGTTAATCAGCTCTGAAAGATTTTTTCAATCGCTGCTGTACTTGCGGGGACTCGATGTGGATGACCGCATTCTTGACCGTGGCTAATGATAACAAATATTTTTGTTAACTCAATTCTTCGTCATGCTGAAGCTGTTCTTAACAGCTGTCTTCTGACAGCTCCACTTTTGAGTCTTATCCTCTATCATATGTAATTTTTTAATCTACATTGTAAAGTTCACCTCACAACTTTGTTTCAAATTCCACGCCCCAAACGTAATATTGACAATTCCTTTAAGTAATTTGACTTTTGAACAAATAAATATATACACCGGTATGATATGACAGATTTTTCTTGTGTATGCGCGTTTATATGCGTTATACGCAAATGTATATAAACAATTAGGTATTTTTTAAATTTGGTTGAGTTCCAGTGATGCAACACTTTGCTTTGTAATAACCAACATTTATACCACAAAACAACTATTTTCCAAAATAACTTTATTTTTTTAAAATAGCCGTAACCAATTAATTTTTATTAGATTTTTATGAATATAAATTTCATTATTAATTAATAGCACAGTTCAGTTTTTGCTCAACGGTGTTGGTATTTGAGTTTCCGTGCCACGTCTCAGGATCTTTCGGCTCTTCACTTCACTTAAAGAAATGCAAATGAAATCATAGAGGAACTCCAGCTCGGTAATCGGCCTGAGATAAATTTCCCCGGGAATGACCGCGCTAAACGTGCCGACCCTGGAACGCAATCTCGGTGATGATGGAGCGCTCGCCCGCTCGTTAACGCCTCGCTAAATCTTTTGAATCGGTCATTGGAATTGACGTATATTCCCTAGTTCAAATTGTTGTTAAGTACAATTTTACGATACCACTGCCATTAATGTCCCTGTCAGCTCTTCGTCATAACCTGTGAAATAAGAATTTTCTGTAATTGCGCGACTTGATATTTTTCTTGATAGTTGCTTATTTCAATTATCATTTTTAAATAGAAGTAAATGCATGAAATATTTTGATCAACTTTACAATTATTTTTAGTATATATTCCAAATAAACAACCCTGAAAGTTTTTTATGAAAGATTTCAATTTTTTTACGCTGAATATTAAATTTAAATAAGGGGACTTGAGTTCAACATGTCCGGCTTTATAGCTTTTTAGCCCACCTGAAACTGTTTATCGTTCGTTAATTTTGTGATCGAAATTAAACTTGCGGCTGATCAGTGTTTAGAATTTCTTTTAAGCTGACTGCGGTTTACGCTATTGAAGCGGATGGCGATACAGCGTCTCTGAATCAGTCTAGCGATCTAACCCGTGATGTAGAAAAGTTAAAAATGACCCTCTTTTACACGTACTCATCCCCACTCATTAATTACACTCATCTCAGCGCTCCTTAATTTCCAGGGGCCATACTTTCAAAACTCAGGGGCCTAGAGCTAAGTGAACGTAACTACTTACGCTCTATTTTCTTGTCTATGATTGTTGGATTTTGCTTGAAAGGCCGTCAATGATTGGCTGATGAACTTACGATCTCTTAACTTTTTTTGTGTACAGAACATCGGTATCGATCGGTACAGAACATCGGTATCGATCGGTACAGAACATCGGTATCGATCGGTTCAGAACATCGGTATCGATCGGTAATATATCGGTATTAGTAGAACATCGTTATCGTCACTCTTAATCCCACGATAAGTCGTGATATCGACCAGTACGTTACACGGGCCACAACACAAAGCATTAACACGAACCGTTTATGATGCGCAGCTACGACGCGCGCAACAACAACTTCGGGGACGGCGAGCGCTGGTTCGACGAGACGGTGCTGGGGCGGCGGGCGTTCTTCAAGGCCCTGGCGCCCGTGCCCGTGCTGAGCATCGAGCCCGTGGCCATGGACGACCACGGGGACTTTTCGTGTCGCGTCGAGTATGTCAAGTCCCCCACCACCACCGCCGCCTTCACACTCTTCGTCATCGGTAAGACAATTGCTAATCGATATGTTGCCTTACATTTTTGTTGTTTTGTTCCTAACTTTCCTAAACTGTTTGTGAACAAAACCTGAAAAGTGTGGTCTCATTTGTTCCCTGTTGTGCAAGATGTATTCATTAGAGATATAATATCTTACATATGGAATAAAATTTTTTACAATGTATAGAATTTGCAGGAATAATAAGCATGTAATGTGAACGCTGTCTTTATCTTACCCAAAACTTGAGGGTATACTTATGCGCACTCGATAGGAAATGAACTCTAAAAGTCTGAAAGCCTTGAAAAGTACATTTTTTTAATAAAGATGTTTCCACTTTTCCCTTGCGTCTTTTTTGCTCAGTCGTAGTCGCCGCCTGACTGAGTCATGGTCATACTTTCTGAATGACTGAGTGAATCATACTCATAGTCAGTCGCAGCGTGACTGAGTCAAAGTCTTAGTTGCCGCATGACTGAGTCGAAGTCTTAGTTTCCGTTTGACTGAGTCATAGTTGCCGTGTGACTGAGAGGAGCTCATCAGAATTCATCAGAACAAAGTCGCCGAACAGTATTCTTGAATCGGAAACAAAACTAGTTTTTTTTTTGTGGCAGCGCGGTTAAGCACCGCAAATTAAAAGCAGCTAGCAGAGATATAATTTTTCTGTCTTACCTGAGTGATGATTAGCGCACTGTTCACCTAATATTCACAGGTGCGAGGCTTCCGTCCTTGACTTACTTGCGTTTACTTTCATACCTTCTGCACTTCCTTATCATAAATCCTCCCTCATAATTGGCAGGCATATGTTCGCATGGGTTCTTAGCTCGCCAGTTAACCTCGAATTTAATAAAAAAAACTGTTAAAACGCAAATTTCTTCATTAAATTGATAAATCTGAGCAAACGCTCGACTTAGCGGCGATCAAACGGCGGCTGCAGCCGCTGCGCATCGAGATTGAGTGATAGTCTTCCGCGCCATACCAGCGCTTGTTTTTTTCTGAAACAGTTTTTTCTCAACATTTTACAGACTATGATATCTTCACTGAAATTTTCAATGTATGAAACCTTATAAAAAATTATTCTGGAGAGTGATTGGAAATTAAACAGGTATGCAACCGTACGCTTCTGTCTTGCACAAAATTGAAGTGCTACAAATTAATGGTTATAGCAGCCACAGATGCGTTTTGTGATGCTAAGTTAAAGTAGTAAGACGTTTAAAAACATCAGCAAGTCTTTACCATACGATACTCCAGTTTTTACATCATTAAAGACTCTTCGTGCCATTCTGGGCCTCTAATGGACTAAATTCCTTATCAGACTCGAGAGCAAGTCGAGTAAAAACCTGCACCAGCATATCAAACTGCAGCATCCTGATTCTTCTTTTCAAACACATTTTTTAGGTGAAGTGCATTTGATATTGCCTAAGGGATCAAATGAACTACGTTATAATACTCAATGAATAAGGAAACCTGTAAAATATTTTTTTTGGCGGTATTATTTCAGTAAAATGTAAAGAATCTACACTCAGTTTATGCTTGGCGGTAAAAAACTGCCTCACCCTTTAAGTCTTGAAAGTTTTATGGATGAGCCTTTCTGTCGGAAAAAGAACATTTCTAGAATTCAACACGTGTCATCTTTTACGAGCATTTCGTTCGAAACTTTTCTCAGATGACTCGCTGTTTCAATACGCACTTTACATCGACTCTGGCAATCTGCAGTTAACTGATTCATCGGAGATCTCCAATCAGCAAAAAAGTTTCTAGCCGTCGCATTGATCGAGGGCTTCGCGCACTCGCTCGGGCGCGCGCGGCGACGCGCGACGCCCGATGACAACTTAACGCGCTCAGGCGCTCGTAAAACATAATTGGATTTGCGATCCTGCAATCTCCATTGCCGACGATCGGGAACTTTGGCATCAAACTACCGAAACTTGAAAATGTGATGAGCATACGAACTTCAGTGGCATTAAATCGGCATATTTTGTGAGAAGGAACTTCAATTCCCTAACGCTTCATTATTTCCGATGTTATTCTCGTTTACCCAAGAGATAAAATATTATAATGATAAATCACTTGTTTTGCTTTAGATGAAATTTCTCAGCAGCATTTGTTTTCTTGATGAATAATGAACAGCGTTAATCCTCATGATTCCTGGAGTCATGAGCCGCATCATTATTAACCAAAATACCTTCATTCCAGCGCACAAAAAAACACACGGATAAGTGGTTACGGAACCGGAGCTTGATTCCTCAAACATTTGACTAGGTCATTACGAAACTTTTTATTAGGCCCCTCATAACTTGCTGCAATAACTCCATCGTACGACTCCCTCCTCCAGTGCCCCCCGGTCCCCCCACCATCACATGGAGCGGCCAGCCCGTGGTGGAGGCCGTAGGTCCTCTACAGGAGGGCCAACATGCGGAGCTCGTGTGTACGTCGGTGGGTGGCCGCCCCCCGCCCTCCGTCACCTGGTGGAAGGGGGACAAGAAGATAGGGGCTAGGGAGGAGGTGGGGGTGTCTGGTGGAGGTGTCATGGAGATCTCTTCGAAGATCCGCGTGTTCGGTGGAAGAGATCTCGCCTTCGTGCCGCTGAAGTGCAAGGCGCAGATCCACCCTCGCGGCGTCATCACCATCCCTCCACGCATTGCGTCCGTTACACTCAACGTCACGCGTGAGTCAATGCGTTATACCGTCACTTGAGCCTTCATATTTTAACCCATGGATAACCCTGATGTCACGAATGTTGTTTACTTGTTGGTTCTTATCCTGTGTGAAGTCATTTCAAGAAATAAACTAATGCGTACGGTATATGGTTATATGGGCTTGATCGAGATTGCCTGTGATGGCGCGCAGTCTTTTGGAAATTATTACAATCGGTGTTATCACCTATAGTATCTTTAATTATTGTTTTGAACAAAGATATAATAAGTAAGCCATATATTTCCTAAACATAGTTTTTATTTAACTAGCAGTAAAATATGTACAGACGCTCACAACTCTCATTTACTGCAACTCTCACATTGATAAATAATCATTGCTCATTTCCCTCCCCCCAGTTCCCCCCCTGCAGGTGGAGATCAGGGGGGGCGAGCACCCCGCCAACGAGGGGTCGTCGGTGCGGCTGGTGTGCGTCACGTCGGGGTCACATCCCCCCGCCGTGGTCACGTGGTGGAAGGGGGGCAGCCTCATCACCAGCGTCACGCACACCGTTAGTAACTCCTCACACTCTGTTACAATTGTTACAAGTTTGCCATTATGATTATTATAATGTCCATTTGACATGCAGCAACAATGTGAATTTTGGTCACGCACACCGTTAATAACTCCATTACGTTTATAAGTTTGCCATTATGATTATTTAAGGCAGGGTGGCCCAGTGGTTAAAGTTCAGAGAGTACCAAGATTGGAGCAGAGAGGTGCGGGTTCGATCCCAGCTCTGTGCGCCAGTTTCTGGTCAGAATCGGCGAGGAGGCCGGGCGGTTAAGCACAGCAGAATTGTAGCAGTGAGTTGCGAGTTCGAGACCGCAAAATGCTGCGAATGTTCTGCGATGTTATAAGAATCGGCGACAGGCCTACGGCCTAATAAACGCTGAAACCGCTATTATATATATTATATTATATATTATTATAGCACTTTACATGCACCAGCAATACAAATTTTGGAAACCTATTATCTGGTTTATCATCAGGTTGAATGCATTTTATATGAATATAAAAGCTCAAAATGAATTTCAAAGAGAGCGTGTGAATCTGTTTTAATGTTCATTTGTAAGTTAAATGCTAAATTAATCATATCGAGGTACATGTTAGAAGAAAACTTGAGACGTATATCGTTAGAAAGCAAGAATGTCATTTGCTACAGCACTTAATTATAATGCATTATTAAGCGCTATATTATTATATATAATGCATTATTAAGGAAGGAAATGTTAAAAATTAAAGGGCCATATTAAGGCTAAATATGAAATTAGTCTCAATGACAGTGAGTCGAATAAGCCATTTAATGATTCTTGACAACGAAGTTGATAGTATAGAAAAATGCCATCGCATCGAAGAATGCGATGGCATTTTTCCAACAATTGAAATACAAGACAAAATGTCTAACGCAAAGCTCTGAAATTATCACAAATGTATGCAGCAGTAGCAAGCAAAATAGAGTCGTTCAAGTTATGACCGACCTACGTACGATCTATCAAGTTATGATTTTTCAAGTTATGAGCGACCTGAACCGATCATTTAGGCGATCAAGTCAAAACATTTATAATAAGTCTCTAGGATAATTAGGTCCAGGGTACACCCTGCATCGTGGTCACTTGCCCAACGCTGACGTGTGACGCTTGTGAGGAAATGATGTCCCTGTAGCTCGGACGTTGCCAGGCTGAAGGTGGACTGTACATTATAGTTAATCCACGCCTTCTTTGCATTTCGTGCAGAACTCGCACGCGCAGTTGTTTTTAGTTGACCGACTATGTATTTTTTCTTTTTAAATAGTAAATTAATACACAATGAAATTTCTGTGATCTCGTACAAGATAAACAAAATAAATATTTAATGGGTGGGTAACTAGCAAACACTGCCCAATCGAATCTGAAACCTTATATTATGAATCTCTTTTTATCATTATATTATTATTGTTATTAATCTCGTACAAATCTCTCTCGATTTATGCAAGCTGTATTCAATTCTATTGTATCGAGAACGTTCTTTGATATAAGAAGCACGGGAAAGAATGTGTATATATGAGGTGTCGCAGCACACAACATATGCTGGCTATAACACATCGCTACAAATGCATCAACGACGCCTGTTTTCCCCATACGGTAGCACGGACGAGGCCAGTTCATTGTCTCTTCCTGCTGCTGATCATGTCTCGCAAAACGCCTACCTGGGCTCATCCATCTTCGCCCTGGAGTTACATAACCGTCAGCCCATTTGTTGCTGTCATCAGACTAGCAATGAAGCGATTTTTGTGGCCCTCTTTCTATATGGAGCTCACTTGCGTGCCCCGTAAAGCCGGCGCTTCAAGTATTCTCATATCGAGAATTTTTTCGCATTGCCGTGAATGACATGAAAGATGCGAGAAGCGGCGCAATGTAGCGCCTGGGCGCTGAGCGAGAAATGATGTCGAGGCGGGCGCACGTGAGCTGAAATATTGTACAGCGATTCTGTCGGCGTCTGAACAATCGGCACTGTTATATTCTTTTATGTTATGGTTCCTATGCTGTTCATATGGAATACAATTTATGTAATAACACTACAACTTCATCATCATCCATCTAAAGGCCAGTTAAAATGAACCATGTTTTCATACAACATTATTTAATGAAAGATTCATTCGCAGTCTTATTTGCGCTTCTCACAGAGAGTGCAGATTATGCCGAGCTTAGGAGTAATTGAGATCATATTTTCATGGGCTTAACTCCAATTTAAACTTGTACCAATTAAATTTGACACTCTCAGACACGCTCAGACATATACTGATGATACATTTTTGTCAAACTTGATGAAAGGTCTCTGGAAATATCTGGCAACAAGCGTGGCTTAACCATCATAATAATGTTAACTGCTGCGAGGCTTAACCATCGTGTCAGTGGCGACAAGCGTGGCAGGCTGCGAGGATGAAATAATCGTATTTCGTGCGACCATTCTTCCTTGTTATCGGGTGATTCACGAAAACTTCCTGATTTTAAAGTAAAAAAAAAAACAAAGATATCACTGCAATATGAATATCATTAAAAAAAAACAAAATATGAATTTTTGTTTCATTTAGTTTTGAAGATCACCTTGGACAAATGATGGCTTTATTGTCAAAAAGTCCAATCCAACTCGGGGGATCAGGCCGGCCAAAGAAGATCACCTCACAAGGAGATGAGGCGCTCCGCTAAATGCTGTCTCAGAAGATCCATTGAATATCCGCTGCGTGGGCTATGGCACCATCCTGTTAGAACCAGACGTCCCTGGCATTCATTCACATGCATTTCGGCGAGCAATAAAATCGTTTTTGATGAGTTCTTGTGCCTCAGACAATTTGCAGGAATGAAATTTCAGTTATTTGTAATAAGCTCGTACCGCACTGCTCTTCGAAATCCACAGAATAGCAGCGTGTTTACGTGCTGAACGGAATGGCGAACGCAGAAACGCCTCTAATTCTCTCTACGTTTTCGGGTCTTGTGACAGTCAGCTGACCACCAGACCCTCTTACATTCACATTTCCACTTGCCCTATATATGTGGTCACCCACGTAACAATCGATTTTCGATCCGGAACCCCACCTCTAGGAAGAATATACGGAACCGAGTACAGAATGCTCGTTGAGTAGCGATAATGGAACCGCCATTAGAAACGCACGCTGCTCACTTGTCCTATGCATAATGGCAACTGACTAGACGGGACACAAAACTTAATAACATTGCCTTTCAAATGAAAAACTTTTTGTTCTTTTCCTACAACATCTGGTAGCTTGGCGCGAAATACAAAGCAGGAAGTTTGCGTGAATCACCCTGTATTAGCTTGTCGCTCGCGTGCGTCCCGGCATTCGTAAAGCTTAACGTTTTCGAAATAAGTCTCGGAGGCTCGGATATTAACTTTTTACGACCTCATATTCGCAATAATTACAATACGAGCGAAAAAGCTAGGCAGCCTAAATTGGTTCACACTACTTCTTTTCCCCTAAATATATTCTTTATTCAAAATTACACACCCATACACACCCAGTACACAAGTAATCAAGAAAATTGCCTCTGAAACATTTATAGGCTAAGATCTCTTTCCTAGTGCAGCTTTCTGCAATTTATGCCGAAAACATTTAAAACTCGCAAAGGAAAATATATTTTCGACTTGCATATAAAAAATGACTTGACTTGAAAATTATGTAAACTATATCGTTTCTAATTAATGGTGCGAGTGAAAAGCTGAATGCTTGAAGCCAACAAAATATTGATCCTGCAAAATCAAAACGTTATGCGGCTTTATCATTGTGATTATAATTAATGTAATTCTAAAATAGATTTTCAATTAAGAGCTACTGCGAACCATAAATATTTCAGTCTTTAGCAATAATATTCTGGATTCCTTCTTTTTTCCCTCTGAATTTAGCTTTGAGTCAATTTTGCAGTTTATTCAGTGTTATCATGCCTGCGTTCAACAATTGCGGGTCGGCGACCACGACTATAATTAGGAGAGAACACGAGAAGCTGACAATGTTTCCCGAACTATTTTTTTACAATTTATACATAACTATAATTTTTTTAGTTCTAACCTGCTGCATGCAAACTCGGCCTAAATTTAATTCTTAAAAATAAAGGACAAATAGATTGGCTGGCATTGTTCGATCCTTTAGTTAAGATCAACATGCACTACGTACAACTCGCACTCTCATCGGTTCCATTGCGTCAGCGATATGCAAGGAAGGAAAACTTAGCCCTGAAACAAAATAATCTCCTTTTTTTCAGGTGGTACCTTTATTGCTGAATGATTTTGGTTGCGCTGAAATTTGTGTCTATTTACAACGGACAGATCAGGGACAAACTCACATTGATGTACGGATGGACGAAACTACTAAAATCCAAGACACAAATCCCGTTCCCACGAGACAAAGTTTGAGCCAAGAATTCTTCAGATCGTCTTCTGGCAACAAAGTTTTACTTAAACCTGGGCGTCTCTCGAGATCCGCAATTAGTGCGGAATGAGAGACTTTATTTCTTACAATCCTTAGCCTGTGTCGGACAACGGACTCGATTTTTCTCCTCTAGGTCCATTTTTATATCATTAGAGTGACTTGTTGTGCGATGGTACACTAAATTACATTATTAGCTCACTTTATGATTTCAAGTGCCCGAATTGCCTCAAAATTATTTGGACTCATTCTTCCATATTATATGCACAAGGACATATAATAAAATTAAATCCTTCATCCGAACATAGCCCCAGGAATTTGATGCAACTTTCTTCACCTCATTATCAGTAGCTGGCCTACCGAAGAGGGTTTTGTTTTAGAGTTTACAGGCTCGTACATTTGCAAGGATAAGCTCTTTAAATCAACCGTAATAACAATTTAGAAATTTCAATAGAATGATCCGAAAAAATTATCTTCTTTCTTGTCCGTTTTCTGTCAACCTGTAGATGGCTGACGGGGGCAACGTGACGTCAGCAGCCGTGGTTCTGTCTGTGACGAGCGAGGAGGACGGGACAGTCGTCACCTGTCAGTCCAAGAATCCCGCGTTACCCTCACCAGCCCTCACCGACTCCCTCACCCTCAGCGTCTTGTGTGAGTATTACAATTTCCGACTAAACGAAGCTCAACCTTCATTACTCTCGGGTCGTATCAGCGTCGCAATTGATTGCCTGTTGGTTCACTACGGCGTCAATCAATTTATTATTCCTAATCATATTAACTATTGATCAATTTCTTAATCCTAATCATATAAACTATTAATAAATTTCTTATTCCTAATTATACTAACCATTCTCGCTGCGCAATGCCAATGAGAGTTCCTTATCTCACCTTCATAAGCTCCCACTGTGTATCAAGTGGCGGGGATCGTTGTAAGTTTTATGTGTGCCATCGAGTCATACTGCGCGAGCCATGCGCTTGCTCGAATGCATTTTCGCGAATATCAAGTGAAATGCCATATACATTGAGTTTACTTAGCATGTAAAACGTTAAATAATAAGAGTTGCAGTTAATATAATTAATCAATCACTCGTGCTTGTCCAAACAAGGTTTAAACAATTATTAGAAAAATTTCCTCGATGAAAAATATCCTCCACGTTGAATATTTTGATAAATCGTTCCAAGAAATTCTTGAATTCTTTGGAATTGAATTTATTGTGCCACCATTTACCTGATTGCTTCATAAACTTCAGCGCGTCGGTAATCACTTTTGTGGGATCATTAATTATTTTTAATTGCTAATTGGTAGTTCGGTGCAATTATTTTCCCGATAATGATGTGCTCTTGCCGTCATCTCACAATAAATATTGTGTGACTATTATCCCCGCAGCGAGCGTTAATTGCTGTTGATTTAATATTTCTGAACGACCGGTGCATTGTTTTAAGCTGGTTAAATTGCTTATAATTTTTACCAGAATCCTAGCATATCTGCACTTGTTTTTCTAGCAAGGAAGTAATTTTAGACCAATTCTCAAACAGTTGAAGTTACGCTTGACCAAATTCAAACATTAATGTTTAACAACTCGTTCAATTTGGATCTGCGAAATGAACATCAGAATCGTAGGAGGAAACAGCTGTGTAATTAAGCATTGGCTTGTTTATTCATCAGATTTTTGGGATCCTCGCTGGAGACAAGGCTTTGTTGAATGGGACAAATATGCAGGTTTTGATTATACGCTTCTTAGCTCTCTTGCTGCATGCTCTGGAATTACAGAAACTCAAACTTTCATCCGGAAACAACATATAATTTACCAACTGCACTCCATGGGGTAATAGAAGTGTTCACCACTTGTTTGATGTTACCGAATACTGGCAGGAGTTTTAATGAAGCCAGGCAGATTATTTCGCTGCACACTCGCTCCTAATTGCACCGGACCATTGGTCTCATTTTGCAGCTCAGGTAATGAGAGCGCCCAAACAAAGACTGAAACTCGGCGCTGATGGCTCTCCAGCAACCCGGATTCCATCAGATGTGCGTTAGGCTTGCAATTCCCGCTTAAGAGAAGCACTACATTCACCTTTATGCCCGCCCCTGCCCAAATCTGCCCCGTTACTGGGCATTATTGGAAGCCATATGCTGGGCATCTTCGAGGCGTCGATAAAGGGTGTTATCTCTCGGCAATTTGAATGGAAACATCACCTGCAGGCTCGCTTGGCGGCAAGTGCTTGCACTCTCTGCGTTTATTAAATTGTAGGTTCCAGTCAGGATTTTATTGTACAGCTTCTCTAATTGTGTGTAGGTATTTTATCAACATGAATGAAATAGAAATTAAATTACATGCCGGGCAAGGCGCGGGCGAAACGTTATTAATATGTTGACAAATTAAATTCAAAGTGCGTTCCACTCAGGACAACTAAAATAAGATTCTATGCTTAAATATTCATAGATGAGTATACAAATATAAATTTATATTTTTGAATTTATGTACTTACGATATATGCAGCAATTTACATTATCTAAATATGATTGCATTACCCACTCTATACAAGGAACTTATCAACTATAAAATTATAAAAATGTACATATTTTCCAGCCTAATTTGCTGGTCTCTGAATTACACATTTATTCCAGTGAAAATTCATTAGATACTTCAGGATGAAAAACTTTTCTCGAATGATATAATTTCGAAGAAACCTTCAATAGAGTACCTACTATCCATAATTTTATACAAAATTTCTTTCACGTTGAAAATAGATGAAGTTTCTGGACACTGACTTGATACTCTTTAATATTTTTTTATCTACCTTGCGATTCAATGTTAAGCTATCATTTATGATCGTTGCGATTTAATCTATCATTTTTCATTGCCTCGATGACTCAAAAGAATCTTGCTTAATTTTCACGCACCCACTTTTTAAAAAAATCCGGAGGTATATCTTTTCGTTGCACCGCTTATTTGGAGACCGAACGACATCTCAATAAACGTAAGTTGACGAACACAAATGCATCGTTGGCACTTGTCTGGCTTCAGCTGCGACTGGAACAATGCGTGGTAGCGAAATCAATTGGATTTCAATCACGAAGGTAAATAATCTAGCATTATTGAGGCTTGAGTGTGTCGTGGCGGCGCTCGCTGCGCCGGAACAAGTCCTCACTCTTGGTCCCGCGCTCCGTCTCGTGACCGCTCCTACATGAGGTCCGTGACGGTCGATGTGACCTTGCAGGCGAGCTAATTAATGGCCTGCCTCGGTTCACGTCAGAGTTTGTAGGCACGTCTGTACAGTGTACAGGTAAATGTATTTTACATTACATGCAGCGCGGCAGTTTAATTCGAATTATGGCAGACAGAGCTTGCATTTGTGTTGTAACGTTTGATGATGACAAGGCACCGAAGACCCATCATATCACTTCATTACTGCGGTGCTGGGAGCTTTCTTACACTGTATTCCTTACATGTTCGCGTAAAAGATTGTGTGCGAAATTACTCTGTAATCGCTACAGTGAATGTTCGCCTGGCTTACCTGTAGCCTCACGAAAGTTCCATCAGCCCCACCAGCACTGCCGTGAAAGTTCCTTCTCCACTCAATCTTTCCACCATGAAAGTTCCATCAGCCCCACCATCACTGCCGTGAAAGTTCCATCAACCCCCACCATCACTGCCGTGAAAGTTCCTTCCCCTCTCACTCTTTCTGTTACGAAACTTCCATCAGCCCCTACCATCACTGCCGTGAAAGTTCCTTTACCTCTCACTCTTTCTACCATGAAAGTTCCATCAACCCCCACCATCACTGCCGTGAAAGTTCCTTCACCTATCACTCTTACTGCCATGAAAGTTCCATCAACCCCCACCATCACTGCCGTGAAAGTTCCTTCACCTATCACTCTTTCTACCATGAAAGTTCCATCAGCCCCCACCATCACTACCGTGAAAGTTCCTCTACCTCTCACTCTTACTGCCATGAAAGTTCCATCAGCCCCACCATCACTGCCGTGAAAGTTCCTTCACCACTCACTCTTTCCACCATGAAAGTTCCATCAGTCTTCACCATCACTACCGTGAAAGTTCCTTAACCTCTCATTTTTACTGCCACTGCCATGAAAGTTCCATCATGGAGTCCGTGAAAGTCACCCCTCACCGCTCCCCTCGCTTCTCCCTCAGACGAGCCTCGCGTGGAGCTGCAGGCGCGGGACTCGGTGACGCAGCTCAAGGAGGGCGAGTCTGCAGAGCTGCTCTGCAGGGTCCGTGCCAACCCTCCCGCCCACCTCTACGCTTGGTACCTCAACGTCAGTGTCGAAAATAATATCTATTCTCATGATGTTGTCAGTAGCTTCAGTTGTATCCCTCAAAGTCGTTACCTAGCAACCTAAACGCTGGGCAATCGTAAAATTGTAGAAGACTCAATGCTCATTCATTAAAAGCTATCAAACTTCTCCTGTTTAAACCTTTATTGGGCATAGATAAAATCAGGATCTCATCTGGACTATACATCGGTTAGTTATTAAGTGTGAAGCGCTAGTAGGGAAAAAAGACCAAAGTATTAAATCTTGAATTGTCCCATAGCTTCTTAGTAACGTCTTATGGAAAAAAATATAACTCAGCACTCACTGCAGTGAGTGACAGAGAGCGCATTTTCTCGTCGACGAAAACTTGAGGTCACGGACGGACGGACAGACAGACAGACGGACATGGCGAGCACAATAGTGCATTTTTCCATAAATGAGAAAATGCGCTGAAAACAGTGACTGCACGAAAAATAAACATCTAATTCAACCAATCAATGGAATAATGTGACTCAAAAAATTTAAGCCTTAACGTTCTATTCCACATTTCCAATAATAATGCCAACTTTGTTGCATACATTTCTATGGTGAACTTTTAATTAGTATCATCCATTGAAGAGTTGCTTTTGCAGCACTCAGCGGCTGAAAGCTAGTTATGCTCTTGATTTTTAGCGCATTTTCTCATATATGGAAAAAAGGTGCTATTGTGCTCGTCATGTCCGTTCGTCCGTCTATCTGTCTGTCCGTCTGTTCGTGACTTCACGTTTTCGTCGACGAGAAAATACGTTATCTGTCACTCGCTGCAGTGAGTACTGAGTTAAATTTTTTTGTGATTATACACTGTACCCTGAGGGTTGAAACGACTGCACGACTCGAGTAATAAGGATTTTAGGCTACGTTTGAGTAGTTTGAAGTTTTGAGAACAGTTTCATTTCCATAAGATTTGACTGGTTGACAATTTTATGGTGCTATTCTTATCTTAAATCGGAATTTGCATTCCAGTGAAAAATTAACGGTCTTAATGAAATTAATTGAGCATAATTAATCGAATAATAATTTAACCATTTATCGGCCTTAATTAATTAATTAACGGTATTAATTAATCAATTTCTATGTTTTCTTTTAAGTGTCATTATACCTGAATGAGCACACGTCATTTTATTATTTTTTTCATTTAGACATTGTTTTTATTCCGTGAGTAGATTACCAATAAACTTACCCATTGAACCTGCAAATTATTTCTGGATACCACCATCCCTTCGGACGATATATGTATATAAATTAATTTATGCGATAGATAAATCAATAACGATACGTCAGTAAATAAATTGACCTGAATAAGCAAACACGGCTATCCCTCTTTGAATGAATCCCAGGTATAATCATTAATTGAAGACGTCGTGATAGACTTTACTCGACAACACATAAACTCAAAGCGAGAATTTTTCCAACAACAATTTGTATTGAACAAACGAGAAGGTGCTCGCCTATAATGAGATGAATCCTTGCATGTGTGTCAGGGAGCGGCCGTGGTGCAGGACTCAGTGACGGTGGTGAGGGCGGGACGGCTGAGCCTGCCGTCTGTACGGCCGCACCAGGCAGGCCGCTACACCTGCGAGGCCACCAACATCATCGGCGCCACCACCAGCAACGCCTTGCACATCACAGTCCTGCGTGAGTGATGTGCTCTACTTCACTCAAGTGCGTGTCATAATGTACGAAAATTATAGGTACGGTTTACTAATGTACGGCTAGTGAACGTCGTCGAATGGTGGTGGTGGTGATGCGATAGCATTATAAAATTATAAAATGTGGGAATGAGGATGGTGAATATTATTATAGAATATTTGAGTGTGTCGGGAGACTCTCGTGCTGTCATGCCCTGGTTTCATGTTAAGCTAAGGTTATGCTCAACTTATCATGCTTCGGCCAACATACACCGGGGAAGTTATTTTGTTATTTGAGTTTAAGCCTATTGGACCAGATAGCTTTTAGCGGAATACATTTACAGACCTCTCAGAGACCAACGGTCAGTGTTGAGTTTTGCGGCAAAATCTGCCCTGTCAACATCGATGAATGTGGCTTGGCAATTTTGGGCAATATGCAGTATTTTTATTTCTAATAGTGCGTATAGTTGAATGTAAAGAAATTAAGTTATGTATTGTTCAAGAGCGGCGTCTGTGGAGTCACGTACTAGTTTGTTGTTGTCTTGGTAGACGTAAATCAAAACTTGCTGTAGGCTTTATGGGGACTTAAACGTATGCGCAAATTGCGCATTGAATTTTTTTTGTTAGTAATCTATTTGCTGTGTAGTGCGATTTGATCAATCGCATGGCATTGAATGCGTGTTGACAGAAATCGTGGTAGTGATCAGAGTGTGATGAATGGTCACATTCTGTGTGGGTTTTGTAATTAAATATTATTAACGTGCGGTTATATCGATGAACGAGTAAATTTTTAGGTTGATGATGTTTAGGTCTTCAAAGGATTAAATGTCAGTCAATGTGAATTATCTGGTATTGCTGGCTTGTTGATTATGTTGTTTTGGGATTTGCCGGAAACACATCTATAGGTACTTCCCTGATATCTCATAATACGATCCGATATCTACGATATTTCATTATACGAGACATTATATAAGACATACGAGACATGTAATTGATCATTGGAACATTTACTCATTTCATCCTTTACAAATTTAACCTAACCTAACATACACAGGTACTGATGCTTTCAAATGCACTTTATGTAATGATAAAATTTTATGGTAGCTGCTATTATGATTAAATGTCCCAATGATAAACTGCTATAGTGTTGAAATGTCTCGTATGATGAAGTGTCTCGCTGACCATGAAGGTGTTGTGAACATAGGAGTCCCTGAGGTTGAATGCTCTGCTGAGAGTAAACCTAGGCTAGTAAACCTTATCTAGTTGTTTTGAACCGAAATTTTATACGCTGTTGTTGCAATAATTCGTGTGTTGTTGGCCGCTACAGACAAGCCTCGCTGCGCCAAGGGCTTCCAGTCGCGCAGTTTTGACCCGAAATTTTATGCTCTGTTGTTGTAATAATTCGTGTGGTGTTGCCGCTACAGACAAGCCGCGCTGTGCTAAGGGCTTCCAGTCGCGCAGTGAGCGCGTGGCGCGCGGTGACACCGTACGGGTAACATGTCGCGTGGACGCCTCGCCCGCCACCAGCCTCGCCTACACCTGGACCCGCCTCACCGACGACGGCCGAGAGACGCTCCTGCCCTACATGGTCAGTGCTGCGGGGTGACTGCGATAACTCGGGGGCCGTTTTGCGGTTGACATCATTGTAGGTCTTATATAGATCTGTGTGTTAACCATGGAGTCTAATGTTTATTGATTGGATTCCTACTTATAAAGCATATTGTATTACCTTGTTTAACTTGTTTTGTTTGCTATTGCGAAGCAGTGCATGTTGCTTCGGTAGCGAATGACGTGTTTCATGCGATTATTTATGAAAACATCGATGTTTGCAAAACAATTTTAGAACTATGCATATATAAGTTAATACGCGATGGCCTTGAATTCGTCCATGTAATAAATCAACAACATCATAACATTAGTTAAGTGAAGTATCTGCCATAGAAGTGCGTCCTTTAAAACATCTTTCACGCTCCAACATGGAGTGGGGAAGTCAAGTCCCGCATGCCTGCTAGTCTCTCCCCTTCCTTCTTTCTCCTTTCTCCTCTTTACGTTCACACTCTCCCAACAAATAGAAATTAATACAATAAATTTATTGTGTTTCATCCAATCTTTATTTTGTTCTCGAGATTTTGCCGTTTTTTGCATCGAAGGGTGGACCATTTTATTTATAATTCCTCCGTGCTATTTCAACTACTGAATGCCATACGTTTTGATCTTCTATTAAGTTATCTCATTCCTCTTGTCAGTTTTTAATTACGTATTCTTATGTAAGTCAATTCTTCTGATAATTTGAGAACAATCCGTAACCAGGAAGCCATCCACGAACTGCGCGCGAGCTTGAATGTTATTTTTCAGGGAACAATTCATTCCCAATGGATAAAACAAATTTGTCATTTCGAAAGAAGTTTGAATGAACAAATGAAATTCGCACTTCGCGAATAAAGCGAAACTTATGTGAAAAAATGAATTTAAATTGCCCTAAAGATTATCCAATATGAGTGCGCTGTGATTTAATTAAAAATACGATAGAATCATACACAAACTGTGCGATCTAAATGAACATCTTTCATTTGCATCTTAAGTGTCGAATTCTGTATCAAAGAAATTAGTATGTCTTAAGTGCGAAATTCGGGGAATTGTAATTAGTTCCATCATCCGTGTGTTTAGAAATTCGTTGTCTTTATAGTACATTAATTTCGAAGCGATACGAGTTATTGATCTATTTATTTAAACACTGACCTTCTGAAGATTATTCAACAAACTCATGGGGATTACGAGCTTAATCATTACCTCAAAGAACTCTAATTGCACGTTATAAGGAAATTACAGCTCGAATACTTTGAGGCTAACCGAACAAACTAATAGCTAAATTAGCTTACTATTTTTAGTATACATAATAATAGGAAATAATGAAATGGGAAAAATTACCAATATAGCGCTCAAGACATGTAAAAAAATTAATTAAGCTGTTATATTCATGGAGTAGGAAAGTATTGGGGCTAGACAGCGTCCCATAGAAATAGAGAAAACTAGGGAATGGACATCTGCGGAGGTATTTTGGAAAACCGCTGGTAGAAAAAGAGTTTCGAGCAGGAAAGAAACAATCGACTACACCTGAGCTGCTGTAGTTAACTTGATTTTGAGCAGTATCAGCCAATATGATTAAGACAATACCAGCCACGAAGGTTGTGAGTCAATTTAAGAAGTGACGTGTAGAGATGAACGGAAGACGCGTGCTGTCGATCGCCGCGGTCATCGCAAATATCGCGCGAAACCATCTAGCAGTTTCGTGAGACGGATTAATAAGCAAAAATAATATTGTTAAGCAGAATGAGGGTTAACCAAAATTAAGTATCTACCATTCTTGTCTTGATTTATTGAAAAGTCTTCCTATGAGTGTCGGGAAATGTATGAACATTTAATTCTGCTGCTTTTCCTCAATGTGAATCGCGTGTTTTCATTCAGTATGTCTTAAAATAAGCCTTTTTGAAGTTATTCGCCAAAATTGCTCTATTATGAAACTCATTTGCTCTAAAATGTCACCGGTGAGAAATTATACGACACTTCAAGGAAGGTTTAAACAAATGAAACGGCTTCAAACTCATTCCGAGTTTAGGTGACGACGAGCCATGACGGCATCTTCTTCGTTCGTTTAATGATAAAAGAGATGCCGGCAATAGCGAAAAGTTAAACTAGGCAAAATTTCTTCCAGGAACTTTTATCGGCAAGTGCTTGCAGGAATTACTTTTCGCTAGCGGCAAATGTCAAACAATGTTTGTCTGAGCTCTGTCTAGCTGTGGCGCTTGAGCCTCAAGGCGATCGTTATTGCCAGCCATGCCAGAATGCTACAGGCATTAGCGTGTTCTAGAACAAATCACGCTACTCAAAACTTGAAGAGTAACGATGCTGATAACGTGTGTGGGAAAAGTTTCGATGTAGAACTTGAATCATGGCGCAAGTCGTTCGATTAATGTGAATTTTGCAAAGATCTTGTGTATCACATTTTAATCTGCTTGAATAAGAAGGACAGGGAACCATTTACAGGAGGCGTAATTCTCCTGAAATACTTCCTTCAGTCAGTCCTCCCTCAGTATGTACGCACGTTGAACCGTATTCATGCGGAAAATTCTCAAAACAAGTTCTAAATAAATTTATCAAAATGTTAACTCGCGCGCATGAATCTGCTTTGATTTTATTTCTGGCTCCTAATGATCTATTGGCCACTCGCATGCCTGCATCTGCACCAACTTTGTTTCTGGCTCCTATTTACCTTGTGTCAAACTTCCACGTTATCGTCTGCGTTAATTTAATTTCAGGCTTCCAACTACGGTATCTTACGTCCAACTTTCCGCCTAAATGTGAATCAATTTTATTTCAGGCTCTCCCAATTATCTTCTTCTCAACTCGTACTCTAGTGTGTGCACTTTAAAATCATTCTAATCTTCTATCATCTTTTGGCCAACATGCACGCCTGTTACTGAATTAACTGACGTGATGGACATTAAGTGTTCTAATTGTAATTCATAGATTGTAATTCAGAAATCGAAACATAAGGTCGTCGAAGAGAGCGAACTGGACTCGCTCTGAAGATGCAAATAACAACGAAGTCATTCCTCACAAGACAATAAGTGAACTAAATTGTGATGTTTAAATAAGACATGCATCGGAGACTTCAAAAATAATGGAGCGTTGATGAGTTTGACAGCACCATCGATAGGAGCATATTTTGATCTTGATAAGAAGTATAGCTTTATCAGTAGATGACATAGCTTGCATTGTCACTTGAATACCATGCCGAATTCTTCAGCACATTGCCATCAGAGCCGTAGAGCGAACGCCATCTTCTGCCTGTTCAGGACGAGTCATCATATCGAATCTTTGTAATAGATTTTTTCTGACAGACCCTTCGCAACTATTCTAGTTCATTTGTATAAAAATTGCCTGACTCACTATTAGAAACTTTCACATCCAAATTCAATACCATTTTTATATAAACGGCTATTTTTTCAATCGCCTCAGACTCGTGCACGCTTATATCACGCTCATATTGGTGTGTATTTTCAAGTGATCAGAGTTGGTGCTTGCATATAAGGTTCATTTGGTGTGTTTTCTTAAGTGATCAGATTTGGTGCTTGCATATAAGGTTCATTTGGTGTGTTTTCTTAAGTGATCAGAGTTGGTGCTTGCATATAAGGTTCATTTGGTGTGTTTTCTTAAGTGATCAGAGTTGGTGCTTGCATATAAGGTTCATTTGGTGTATTTTCTTGAGTGATCAGAGTTGGTGCTTGCATATAAGGTCCATTTGGTGTGTTTTCTCAAGTGATCAGAGTTGTTGCACGGTTCCTGTACAGGCCACAAACGATGGGCTGACTTCGACCATCGAGGTGACGCCGGTGGCCGTCGCCGACTACCAGACGCTTGTGTGTCGGGCGGCCAACAGCATCGGGCGGCAGCAGGAGGGCTGCCAAGTCACGTTGATACCCTCAGGTCCTCCCGACCCGCCCTACGACTGCAGGGGCGAGGCTGGTGCAGAGAAAGGCTCGCTGGTTGTCACCTGCATTGAGGGATTCAACGGTGGCCTGCCGCAGCAGTTCACGTTGCAGGCGTGGCAGAGTGACACGCTCGTCGCTAACATGACGAGGTGAATTCATCAATCCTTCCTGTCCACGCATGAATGGTGGTGCTAGAAGGAGCAATGTTATACCAAATGCTCGAATCCTTAGTTAAAATTAATAGTTTTAACCATTCACGGAAATTTTTAGCCATCTCGCTAACACGTGTTGAGTTGCTCTCATATGACCAAGGGATGGTGGAGGAAAATTATTAACATAAGATCAAACGACGGCATTCAAACACGAACGCTGAACATAATGAATCAAGGCGCAGTTTATTAATTTCTTGTGTCCCATGCACAGAAGAATTATTCTCTTGTTCCTATAAGATCAATAATACTTCATGTAATTATATTGTAGGTGAGTGACTAAATTAATATTTTTCGCATGATATAGCTTTATTTACCTCTAAATTTGACTAGCAAGGGACAATTCCTAAATAATTTACGATCACGGCACTCAATGGTCTTTCTTCGTCATTATTTTGAATGTGAACATATTGCAATTCCATCAATTTGGCTCGAGAAAAATTAAGAAGAATTTTCTTAGCTTTCTACGTGAAATTTTTTTTTATTAGATAATACCCTGTAAAGTCTAGACAATGATGAGCCTCAAATGAGTCCAAAACCATTACATGTTCCCAAATCCCGCGTCACCATTATTGTTAACAAATTCAGAGCTATTCAAGCTCGAAGATTTAGAATCGACTTTCTGTCGAGAAGGCACCCATTATAGGTTCGATAAGATTACTGTTAATTGGTGCACTTCAGAGGAGATAGTAAAAAGTCTCTGTGCCGTTTCTTCAGCGAGTTCCCCGAGTGGGGTGTGGGTGGGCTTGCGGAGCTCAAAGAACTCAAGGTGCAGATCTCAGCCCACAACCAACAGGGCTCCAGTGACGTCCTTACCCTCGATCTCCCCAACATTGCTGCCACGCAGCAGCTGCAGGACAGGCACAGGCTCCTCAAACAGAAAGGTTAGAAGGTGGCTTTTTACGTTAGGAAGTGGCTGAGGTTGGGGCGGATATCAGCGCTGGGGAGCGATGATCTTGGGGCGAGATGATGGATGAAGTAGGGGCGGATATTAGAGGTGGTTTATTCTGGTCCAGAGATAGACGAGGGCGAAGTGTGAGGAATAGAGGTGCAATATATTAGAGGCGGACGATGTCTGGTATGGAGGATAAAGATTATGGATGAGAAGAACTGGTCTTAATGCAAACGGTTCTGGGATGTTGGTTGGAGGTTATGGGTGATAAGAACCGGTCTAAAGACAGAAGATGATCTGGATGTTGGATGAAAATTATGGGTGAGAAGTGCTTGTCTTGAGGTAAACGATGGCTGTTTTGGAGACTGTGATATAGCCGCAGCATTGATATGAGTGATCCAGAAAGGTTTGGAAGCACAGGAGCGAAAGCTAGAACGGTAGCTGGAATTAACAGGGGATTCGGGTGTTGATAGAAAGTTGCACCTATGCGACGAAAAGAAGTTTAATCTAGTTCTTCAGAAGTTTAATCTAGTAAGAAAACCCAAATTGAACATTTAACATTTGGTATCGTTGACTTCTAGCGGCAAATTCAGCATGTACTGGTAATGACGATTATAATAACGAGAGTAATTCGTCATCTAACCCCGAAAATTAGTGGATGAAGCAGGAGTGCATGATGCTTTTGCGAAACTAGCGGAGAAACTAAAAAAATTTAAAAGCAGCTCGCTTGAAGTTGAAGTGTTTTAACGATTTAGTAAAAGTAATAAAGAAATTAAGGTTACGAGAAAAATAATAAATTGAGATCCATGCAGTGGCTCGGTCGGAAAAAAATGGTTTGGTGGAGAGCAATGTTCTAGAGACGATATTTGGACGTTATGAGCGTTAGTATTTCAGAAGTGAGACTTGGACAGAGTTGACTATGATTGAATGGTCAGATGCAAGCCAATGTTTATGTGAAAAACAATGGCGAGAAAGAATATCTATCTTAGGAATAGATGTTGGCTAAGTGAGAGATAATTTTCGATCTGTTTAAGCAAAAAACAGATCGAATCGAAGTTCACGAAAGAAAGATTAAACGTGCCCCCGTGGTTGCCCTGCAGACACGGAGCTGCTGGCGCCAGGCTGGTTACCTGCCGTGCTAGGCGGGATCGTCAGCACACTCGTGCTGCTGCTCGTCGTGCTGCTCGTGTCCGTGACGATCCTTCATCGGCGACGTCGTCGCAACATCAGACGAAGGCAAGACTCCATCAAGCAAATGATGGCCAAAAGCACACCCGAGGACGATGAGGTCGCCACTGCCTTCACAGCAGTCCACGCTGATGCCACGAAACTGGCCAGCTTGAGGTGAGAATTGACGTGCTGGCGCAGGCTGGACATGTTTTGCTCATTTTACATCTTTCAATGTTTTAAAATAACTAGGATATTTTACTGGCCTACTCTAGTGAAGATTTTATTTACTTTAGATGCCGACGGCGCAGACACCGCCACCGAATCTAGGTGCTGCTGAGATAGATTTTTCTTATAGGTATGAATCTTACTTTTTGCGAGAGAAAATCCGGAAAAACCATCTTCTCTACCATTGAACTCAAACTGCAAAATTGTCAGAAAAACTCATCTCATTTTCACGATGGCATCCCACCTTTTCGAAAATATTCAACATAAAACACGAACTTTTGCCTTCAGATCTTGAGGACGAAAATAAGACAAAGTTTACTTTAATTCTCTATCCAACTACCAATTCAATCAGAGTTTCTATTCAAAATGTTGACTTATTCCATCCATATGTTTGAACGAGAGCATTCACAACTCAAATGTCAAGTTGGGAGAGATGATTCTGTCATCTTTGGGCAACCTAAAGCTTTTGCATTACTTCGACTTTATTCTGAATGAAGTTCACTTCACAACATGATTAGGTATTGGAACTAGGACGAAGTTTAGGTATATAATTTCGTGACTGTATTTATAATTCGAGGAACACTTATTCAAAGCATCTAGATTCGTACAAAAACCTTCGTCTGTCGAGATGCATGACAGAATTGAGTGAATGTTCTCATCAGAGCCATCGCAATAAAGTTGCAATATGAAGTTGATTGCGCGGCGCTATTAACATGTCGCTTGGGTTTGCTTTTAGAAGCGTCGACGGCTTGACTGTTTTGCTTACATATGAAAGAAATTGGTACAAGCAAAAAATGCCTCATAATTTCTTTTACATAAACGTACAATTCTCTTGAAAAACATACGGTTGTAGACGCCGAATCTTGGCAATGCGGTCATTCGGTATGATTGTTGTTAAGATTTGTTGATCCTCGTGACTAAAGACCACATTTTCCTTGCGTGGCTCGCTGCAGACACCAGCCCGACGTGCTCCTCTTGAAGCCAAGTTCGCGGCAGTCGACCCGCACATCGACACCTCTCGATGCTGAGAATGGGTCCAGGCTGCACCTCAACCCCTGCTCAGATGTCCACTCATGTCATTCACCCTGCGGCCATGCGTGCGAGGAGGGATCGCTGCTCGCCGCCCTTCAGATTCATCATAACGTGAGTATCGCGCACTCATCAACGTCTTATCACCAACGATGAAGTCTGTGGAGGTTTTTTGTTCTGTGCAACACTTCAGCAATTCACCAATTAGTTATTTTCAGAAATTAACTCAGAGTATCGAAATGTTTTCCAGATTGTGGTCGCTGAATCATATTTCTTATACATTTCTTGCAGCCGGAGCTGGCCGCCGGCTCCTCGAGCGTTTGTTCCGACACCGACTCTGACAACGCTGTTCTGTGTTCCCCCACGATGGAGTGTCGGAGTATTCACTCCCCTCACTGCTCCGCGCTCAGAAGAGGCCACACTCACTCTGTATGTTCACCCACGCGTCGTGTGCGCTGCATGTGCATGACGAAGCATTCGCCGCACTCAGTCATGGCGTGCCGTAGTAGGGCAGAAGAAGTCAGACTTGGCTCACAAGAGGCCGAGGACAGCGGCCTGGAGGACACAGTCGGCAGTGCTGAAAATTTGTCGGCTTCCGGCTGCCCCAGATGCCTGATCAACGCCTCGTCCGCAGCTCCTCCCAGGCAATCTTTCTCCTCTCCTGATATCAACGTCGCGTCTAGCGGGTCACTAAATAAGCTGCAGCAATGTCGCTGGCAGCAATCTTTGAAGAGGATTTCTATTGACGGACAATCATCAGGCGTCGGTCGGCCGCGTGCAAGACGCACGCACTTCGCGAGCATACATAAGCCTTCGGCATCGCAGTACTTTGATGAGCCCAAATACGTTAGTTTAACAAGGCCGTTCCAAGGCTCGGCATCTACTGCTACGGATAAGAAACCGCTGTTTGCCAAAGATAACGCCGCACAAATTATTCCGAATCAAACGAAAAACTTGAAATCGCCAAGCAAATCTGTTAACAAAATCGCACCGTTGTCGCCTTGTAGGGAGAGTGAGGTATGAGAATTATTCAAATAAGATTTATTTTTGCTAATGAATTGTATATATTCCCATTTTCCGATGATAAGACTTCGTCTTGATCAAATTCACTATAGATCTCTGTTCAAAACGTGATCGTGATCGATTACCAGAAGCTCAATGAAGTTCATTCATTAACTACATGTTTAAGTTGAGTATCCAAGGCGAATGTATCATCTCGGAGCGAGAAGCATTTAGCTCTGATGACCAAAGTGCGCTGCCTTGTCAACAGTGTTTGTATTGTGCCTGTGCTTGCCAGTGTTTCAATATTTACGGTTAAGGAATAGCCAATGGTCTTTTATCTCTCCAACAACATTTCAATAAGTCCCGGAAATAGTCCGCTAAAATGTCTATCTCTTCCCACAATGTTTGCCTCTGTTGAAAACATTTTCCGCAAAATCTTGCCAAATGCACCAGCAACCATTTTAGTCTAGGAATATTAGGCTGCAATTATTTTACAAGCTTGAGGCAGTTTATTTTAAATACATTTTTAAAAATATGTCAAATTGTATAATGCATTTTAAATATATCTATCTACCTCGTGGACCAAATGATATACTCAATAACAAGGTTTATAGGTGTAAGCATCGTCGTGCCAGTGTTTTTATAATGCATTTTAAATATATCTATCTACCTCGTGGACCAAATGATATACTCAATAACAAGGTTTATAGGTGTAAGCATCGTCGTGCCAGTGTTTACAAGGAAACAACATGCGGTGTCGCGACTATGGTGTCTGAGCCAGGAAGTGGTGTCATTCTGTTCCGAGTCATTCTGTGAATTCATTTATTGACAAGCCAGTCCTATTAATTTTTTATTGAAAATAGAAAAAAAATCCGATCCAGAAAGAACAAGAGGAGCTTTGCGAGCGTTCGCGAATTGAGCACATATGTGATTCACTTTCCATACTACTAAAATTACCCATGCAAGTTGGTATCGCTAATTCAGTTGACGTTTTAGTTGTAAAAATTGAGATTAAAACGAAATATTTTCTTCCAGCAGCAAGGAAGCCAGTCTGGTACATTGTCGGGTCTTAAGTGAACACGAAGAAACCTTACGTTAAAACATGTCGAATAAGCAGTGCAGTTTCAGATCATCTAAGTAACCCTCATTCCACTCGCCTACCACAGTTTAGGTTTTCGAATCAACCTGCCAATAGCACAGTTTAAGAATATAACGGTACAATCAAAATGTTGTAATAATTTAGCGACATTGCAGTTTAGGTTAAGGAGGGAAAAAAGAAAAAAGTAGGAAAAACAATATGTGTGGAAATAGGTAAAGTCATGAGCCTGCATAGCGGCAGGCGCGGGCTGCTGGGCAGACGCGACGCCGGCGCTCCATCAGCAGCAATAAGCCACAGCCAACATGTTTATTTCCGTGGCTGCTTTATGCTATGTTTATTGAGAGGCTCGTACGTATCCCTGCCCTCTCACGGCCATTGAAGCTCCCCCATGCTCTGGTGCGCTTGAGCAGGTCCTGTAGCTGGAAAGTAAAGATGACTGTTGCCCTGTACTGTGGGCCACATGTGCACTTTTCAACGAACTAAATAATTTGCCATGGAATTTTGATGATCTAGCTTGCGACTAAACGAGCTGTTTCTGCTCTGCACTTGACAATCATTGTGTCCATTGAAACATGACATTAGCCATGAATCAACTGAGTATTTTTTTGACAATTCCAGAGATAATACCAAGGCAATATGCATATTCTGCCATTGAGCAAATTTTACATTCCAGTATTACACGCCTACGAAAAAATCGATTATTGCTTGTGTTAGGGGTCTGAATAATGTGAAAATAACCTACGTTCTCTCTATGAGACTACAACTTCACTGCAAATATGTATGTGTAACAATGTAAAATGAGACGAAAAATTAAAATAAATAAAAAATTAATAATATCGATTTCTGTACGCATATACCGCAAAAAATCATTTGTAGATTGGTTCAGCTGACTGATGGTCACTAAAATTAAGTGCTTCTCCATACTAAGATTCTTATTAGTTCCTTTGGCCTCTGGTAGGCCTGCAATTATCGAACGAGACTCAAACTCTTTTACGTGCTTTTTTAGGCGTAATCACTTCGTTATTGTGTACACAATATTCGACGGCGCTTGATACCTTGGACGCTCGAGTTGTAATAAATTCGCTCTCGGATGGTGAAGCTGTTGCCGTGAAATGCTTTGATACTTCAGATGCTCGAGCTTTCGTACTGAAATGCCAGATACCTCGGATACTGGAGCATTCGCACTAAAATGCCAGATACCTCGGATACTGGAGCTCTCGCAATGAAATGCCAGATACCTCGGATACTGGAGCTGTCGCAATGAAATGCCAGATACCTCGGATGCTGGAGCTGTCGCTCTGAAATGCCAGATGCCTCGGATACTCGAGCTGTCGCACTGAAATTCAAGATAGCTCGGATACTGGAGCTGTCGCTCTGAAATGCCAGATGCCTCGGATACTCGAGCTGTCGCACTGAAATTCAAGATAGCTCGGATACTGGAGCTTTCGCTCTGAAATACCAGATGACTCGGATGCTGGAGCTTTCACTCTGAAATGCCAGATACCTCGGATACTGGAGTTGTCACCTAGAAGTCTTGTTGCGCAAGCGTACGGCCTATATAGCGCTTGCTGCTCGCACGTCACTGCTCTGAGCGGATCAGACGTTCATCTTAGTCTAGGACCTATGGCCTCTGAGAAAACAATCGCGACATATCAAACCATCATCTTTATGTTGATTTATCCAAGTCATCCTGCCAATTGCAGGTATTAAAGTCAAATTTTAGGTAATTTTTTAGTTTTAATGGCGGTGAAAAAGTGAAAATGTTTTCGGATACCGTGCTAGATTTTCATTAACTTGTCATGGACAGTCATGAGGATTGGGCAGAAGATACTGTATGCGTTTACATGTAACTACTGGATGTGTATTTGCCGCATAGGCCACGTGTCTCCTGTACGTTCCCTTAATNGCCTGCAGCACTGAACGTCGCGCGTCACGGTGAGCTCCAGCTGCCTGCAGCACTGAACGTCGCGCGTCACGGTGAGCTCCAGCTGCCTGCAGCACTGAACGTTGAGTGTCTCTTCTTCATGACTGAGACTTGTGCAACGATTTCTAGTAAGAGATGCTTCACACATCAAATTGTGCTCCAAAAGTTCCAAACTTGGTCTTGGATTTTCGAATTCTGAAGGAATGTGAGATAAAATAGCATAACAGCCATTCATATTAGACTAAAATTCTTCAGCAAAACGGTCATGCAATGATACTCATTGACAATAAATAAGCAAATTTCGTGTAATAAGGAAATTATTTTACGACAGTTGCGAGTTGCAGCGCTCTGTTTCTCGCGAAAAAACCTTGCGACAGGATTTCTTTGATCGTACATCACGGGTTGTCGAGATGTTTTAACAGGGTTTACGAACATATTATGGAATTTATGTCTGGATGTTGCAGCATGGTTCATATTTACCTTATAGACTAACGACGAATATACTCATTCTACATTTCTACCTCAGTCGTAGTACTGCAACTTGTTAATTTATGTTTATTTTGTTAATGTGAGCTTCATTTGTTTGTTATGCTTGAGGTTTATTTCCTCTTTAACCATGTTCATTGTGACTTCGATGATGAAGGATCAAGTCATACAATGATGATTTAACCGTTCAATTTCCTCATTTATTTCATGTCCAGAGGGAACACAAATTTTAGTTTCTTCCATGCTTCGCGCGTATTCGGCAGGACGAGGTGCTTTATTACAACATTAATTAACCTCAAATAATCAATTAATAAAGCGGACCACCCCAATCATTATTTGCATACTCATAAATCTTTCAAGATTGATCGGAGATTCGGCGAACAGCTGTGAATAATGTAGTTTGTGGAGCCCATGCCATATTTGTTCATACTTCTTTGCAAACGAGGCTGAATTGTATGTTATTTACTGATATATTATCATATTTTTAAAAGTGCAAATTTTTAGATTTTATTTGTTGGCGCTAGTAAATTTTGAGGAGTTTATTAATAAAATAAAAAGGGATTTGCGCGGCTGCTCAGAAGCTTATATTTGCATTAGTCTTCACTGCTATTTTATTGATTTTGTCGCATTGCTTTGAAAAGGGCAATCTCGTTGTTGACTCCGCTGTGAGGTTTTGAACGAATCTCATTATGAAGCCATAGGTTTTGCAGGAACTTATAGTCTGTGAGCAATCATGGGCTTAATGTTGTGTCTTGTTCTCTGACTCTTATGTCTTATTCTATGATAAGTCGTCACGAACCTTAGCGTCATAAGAGAATATTTCGTGCGTTGAATGTAATGAAACATTGCAAGAGCATAATCTTTTTTTGTGAACAATTATCTACTCGTACATTCGATATCGCAAATTTCATAAGAAATACACGGAAGAATTAGAGAAAAGAGCAGGGGCGGCGCCTTTCGCGAAAGAACTTTAAAGCCGTGGAAATTTGCTCTGTGTGCATTTTCGTCTAAATATAACGTCAAAAAGCATCGAATGTTTAACTGGTGATACTTTAGTTCTATTTTATGCGTGCATTTATTGAAAAAAATGACGCAGAAATTGATGAAAATCGATGGACGCCTCATAAGTGATCGTGCAGTGGATCGAATTATGCGCTGAACGACGTTTCGATCAAGCAGATTACGTCATGTATCAAAGAGCAAGAAATCGCTACGGTTTACTGGAGACCAAAAAATTACGTTGCTGTAAAATTTTTGTATGAAAACGAATGTATGAGTCGATCGATGTATCAGTAGAATGTCCATTATATCGATATGAGAACTATTAACGTGTGTAATTTTAAGCGTGATTTTTTCTCATCACCGAATAATAACTTAAATATCATAGACTACCTTTTGTGTATTGATGTCATTGCTAACATTTTCTATTTTGCTATTAAAATACATGTAATCCAGTTTTTGTTCTTTCACTACCATACCATTTTCACACTAAATATAAATTATTGAATTCTCTGTAGCGTGTCGGATTACGTTTAACGAATGAGGGTTCGTGCTGAGTTGGACTACAAATGAGCGCTCATTTCTCACACTAAACTAAAAAAAAAAACATTACACAATTATGTGAATGAAAGCAATAGCTTTTACTGAGTAAATTAAACGTGTAAAGATGCATATGCTTGCTAAAATTCGTATTATCTTATTTACGAGTGGAGTAAAAGTGAACCTACTTGGTGGAGGAATTCCAGGGGAACCACCCATGTCTGTCAGTGCTCTTTCGGGCTTCCATAACCCCCATCATACTCGCAATTTCAGTAACTTCCTTAATTACAGTTCACTTCAGATCTAAGTTCTTGTAAAACTGTTGGTACTCGTTACTACCAAATCATCGTGAACATGGAAGCGGTAACTTGGGCAAAATTGAAATTTTATAGACAAATTACCGAATGAAGAACATTTTTAATTAGAACTGTAATTCAATTGTAAATGCTTAGACGCCGACCAAACACCAGCCGAGTTTTGAGACCGGAGGAGCTCACCGTATAGGAGCGAGCTCAAATTTATGTGAGCAGGAAAATTTACGACTAACGTCCGTTCTTCTAAGAGGAGACCTCAGAATTA